GCCTCCGCCGCCGCCACCAACTTCGAGGTGGACCTGGGCCACCTCCTGGCCTACGACCCCTCGCACCACCTCGCCGCCGCCGCCGCGTCCTCCAGGGCCGAGCTGCGGGAGGAGTGCCTGCGGAAGGCCACGGAGCTGGCGCAGGCCGTCGCCAACGCCCTCTTCTCGCTGCCGGCCACCGAGGGCCGCGACGGCCCCCTCGTCCGCCTCCCGCCGCCCACCAACCGACTCCCCCGCGAGAAGCATGTGAGCATACTGCATCCCTCTCTCTCTCTCTCTCTCCCCTCATACCATCTCTGCTCGGTAGTATATGTTGCTCTCGATTTGTTTTAGAGAATGATTATTACTGCCGGCCAGTAGATTGGTGTAGGTTACAGACGCGAGGGTGACATATTAGCATGGAACTACGACTGCCACCACCAGCATATATTGCTTCAACTATTGCTTGTATTGATTCTAATTTCTCATTCCTGCTCTGTGCCAATCCTTAAAACGAGATATTAAGCTGAACAGAACTTTTGTTATGATAATATATGCATGTATTTGCAAACTGCAAGATGTTTATAATCTTTACCTCTCCTGTCACCAGTTGCCGAGGCCGAAGCCCCCTACCAAGTGGGAGCAGTTCGCGAAGTCGAAAGGTGAGCCTGTTATTCTTGCTGGCTTGCTGAATGTTTTTATTGCAAGTGTACTTGCTTGGGTTTGATATGGTAGGAACATACCTGCAGGGATTATCAAGCACAAGAAGAACAAGCGTGCATGGGACGAGCAAACTAATTCCTGGAAGCGGACTTACGGCTATGATCGTGTCAATGATGACAGAGACGTTCCCATCATTGAAGCCAAATTGACAGATGGTGAGCAACTTCGTCTTCTGTATCTATGGACGGTGAATTTGTTTTTGTGGCAAGGGTAGTAATCTTTTCTAGCTTTTCCCTGCCGAGTACACATTGCAGTCATCATGAGCTGTGACACAAATGCTTAACAGCATGTATGCCTCTGCGTATCTATGCCGATTTAGTCTGGTGTTCATTTTAAATCTCCAATGCTCTTTGCATTTTGACTAATTGAATCTAATGAGCAGCATTTTGTTTTGTAACAAGAGTAGCAACCGTTTCGAGCTTTACACCGAGTGCCTATTGCAGTAATGTGCCATGACACAAATGCTAACAACCTGCACGCTTCTGCTTTGCACACTGATTTAGTCCATCTATCATTTTTATTTTCCAGTAATCTTTTCATTTATGACTGACTGAATCTCTCGAGTCTAAATTGGCAATGTAATTAGTTCTAAAATGTATATGTGTCATTCTGTTACCCTTTTAACGAAGTATGATTTATTACAGAGCCTGGTGTTGATCCTTTTGCTCAAAGAAGGGAAGAGAAGAAGGGCAGGGTAGATAAACAAGAAAAGAACAGACTTGGAAATTTGAAGAATGCTGCAAAAGTTGGTGCTCTGCCAAGGTAATCCTTTCCTACTACTCCCTCCGTTCCAAATTACTTGTCGTGGTTTTAGCTTAAATTTGAACTAAAACCACGACGAGTAATTTGAAACGGAGGGAGTAGCTAGTATCATCTATATATATAGCTCATGCACTACTTAGTTTATTATTCATTACATTAGCAACTCGACTTTCTCATATAACAGCTTTCTGAAAAAACATTATGCAGTCACATACAGCTTGCTGCCACGTCCGTGCCCATCACAGGGACAAAAGCTGATCTGCCTAGAAAAGCTAAGAAGGAAGATCTCGAGAATGTTGCTGGTATGGCTTCTGCAGCAACTGCTAGCGGTGGAAAGTTTGACAAAAAGTTGCCTGGCGAGAAACCTCTTAAGAAGGCTGGCAAAAATAGAAAGGTTTTTCCCCTGTGAACTTATTTGCCTTCTGTAAATCCAAGCACCTTTGTAATTTGATAGTTTGGTTAGCTTAACTGTTGCTTTTCTGCAGTTCCTCCCTGTTGTAGAAGGGAAAGGAATGGGCAACCTGGAGAAACAGCAGAACGACAAGATCCTGAACAGTCTGCTGGCCAAGAACTTTGAGGAGCCGTTGGATGTCAGCAAGGCAAGCCTCCAGGATTCAGTATATGTTACCTTTTCCATTTGTCTAGC